AGATCCCACATCCCCCATCCAGCCTCCCCCCCGCCCCATCTCCACGGTGTCCTCCCACCCCACAGCAAGCTCAGAGCGGGGCAGTGGATTTTGCCGGGATAACGGGATAACTGGGGTTTAGCCCTGGGATGCTCCAGCCCGTGTGTCAGCAAAGGGCTGGGGGACATGAGGCGACTGGGGAGGGAGATGTCTCTCCTCCATAGCACAGTTGGGGGGCAGATCCCCCCCTCTCCAGGGCTGGTGGAGGGGACAAAAATCTGCTGGAGAGGGCAGATTTGCAGCCATGCTCAGTGCCCCTTCCCTGCCTCAGTTTCCCCCTCTGCAAGAAAAGGCCAATAATCCCCAAAACGCCTGAGCGTTGATGCCAATCTCCGAGCCAGGGATGCGCCACCCTATCCCCACTGCCTGGCTCCCTCCATTCCCACAGGCACCTCCTCCTCCCAATTAATTAAAATCAAAGACCAGCATGCCCTATCTGAGTGAGCATCTCCTGTTAGAAGGATGAGATTTTGGGGATATATGGTTTTGGCTGATTTTTAAGTGCTGGAGGAGGGAGGCTCTGCTCTCAGCAGCACCTTCCAGGCTGCAAAATCTCCTCCTGAGCCATCCGGCTGCTGGCTGGTCCCAGGAGAAGGGAAACGGCATCTCTCAGCCATCTAAAACGCTGAAAGGGAGGGAGCAAACAGCCCCCTTGGCTTCGCAGGGGGCCACATCCTGCCTGCCTGCCTCTGCCTGATGGTGCTTGGATCTTCTCCAGCCCTGGGGATGGGCCAGGTTGAAGATGGGGAGCAGGGCTGTATTTCACCCCGGTTCTTGTAGGTGAAGCCTGCTAGGGTGTGTGGGGCACCCACAGCCCACGGGGGAACCAGGAACCCAGCGTGGGGGGGGGGTCTGGGCTGGGCTTTTGGGTCCCTGGATCCAAGTAGGGCAGATCCCTCCAGGGCTTGGCCCCATCGGAATAAACCCGGAGCCACATCCCCCTTTCCAGAGAGGGAACTCACTGGTGGGGAGCAGGGACCTGTTCCCTGCTCTGTCCCGGGATGAGATCCTTCTCCCAGGATGAGCCGCCCACCCTGGGGGTTTGGGGATGCTCAGGAGGAGGGTCGCTGCTGCACTGGTTGATTTTTCTCTCCTTGCTAATTATTTAAGCACCTTTTCCCTCATATGCAGCAGCTAGAGGACAAAAACGCAACAGAAATACCTCTGGTGTCGGCTGCTATACGGGATTGAAAGGCAGAGAGCAACCCCAGCAAGGTCTTAGATTAGCTCAAATCTTTAATTAGAAAAATAGACACAATTTTCTAATAGTTCTGATAGGGCTGGTTTTTTTTTTTTTTGCAAACAGGAAAATAATAATAATAATAACAACATCACCTTTCCAAAGGGACCATTACGCACCAGTTGCTGGAGCCCCGGTGGCATCTCTCTCCTTCAGGAGAAAGGACCGGTGCAGCCGCAGCCCCGACCGTGCCGTCCAGTAAACAACCGGTCGGGAGCATCATGTAAAGTGCTGGCAGGTGAAATCACAGTCAGGTCGCTACAAATGCAGGATGTCCATGGGTTTGGGTATTAAAAAAAAACCAAAAAACATCTTGGTGGTGATTTCTTTCTGTACATGGTTTGTTTTTTTTTTTTTCCCTTTCCTGTCCTTGGAACAGGAGCTATAAAAATGACTCAGTCCCTGCAGTTTGGAGATGGCTCCGGGTGGCCGGAGCTGACACATCCCACCTCCGCAGCGAGCGGTCCAGCGCCGCGGCATCGCCTCTGCGTCCCGCGTGCTCCTCTCCTCCCTGGCCCAGCCCGATCTGCCGTCATCTTCTCCGGGGCCACCCCAGGAGGGTATTCCCACCCCGGCTCTCCCGTGAGATGCTCGGGGGGACCTCGGGAAACGCCGTCTCCCAGTGTTCAGGTTGGGGTTTCACAGTGTCCCGAAGGAGAGACCCACCGAGAAGAACCCCAAACCTTTGAGCTTCTCCTCGGTCCGGGCTTTCTGCTTCAGGTGGACCTTGCTGTGGCGCTTCTTCTCGTCGCTCCTGGCGAAGCGGCGGCCGCAGGTGTCGCAGGAGAAGGGCTTCTCGCCGGTGTGGGTGCGGATGTGGGTGGTGAGGTGGTCACTGCGGCTGAAGTTCCTCAGGCAGATGCGGCACTGGAAGGGTTTGTGGCCCGTATGGATGCGGAGGTGCCTGTTGAGCTCATCGGAGCGGGCGAAGCTCCGGATGCAGTTCTCCACCGGGCAGGCGAAAGCCTTCTCATGGGGTTTTGGGCAGAAGCATTTGGAAGAGCACTTGGTCCGGCGGGTCTTCTTCTTGGGCTCAGCCAAGGCAGGAGGGTTGGCGGGCAGCAGGGAAGGGAGGGAGGAAGAGGTGGGGTGGCCCAAAAAGTCCGTGGGGGGGACAGAGGGTGAGGGGTGAGGATGGAGGAGGTCGGCAGAGCTCATCAGACCCGGGAGCACTTCAGGCTGGGCCAAGGAGGTGTCGAACTCCGGCATTAACGGAGGAGGGAGGTTGTGGATCTTGGTGTCGGCAAAGTCCCCGCGGGCCGGGAAGTTTTCTGGCTCGCAGCCGAAGACCCGATGGGGGCCGAAGGCGGCAG